TGTGCAAAAGCTTTTGATCTTGATGAAGTCCCAATAGTTCATTTTTACCCTTGCTTCCCTTTCCTTTGGTGATGTTCCTAGGAAGAAGTTGCTGCAGCTGATGTCAAAGAGGTTGCTGCTTGTGTTCTCCTCAAGGATTTGGATGGATTCCTTTCTCACATTGAGGTCCTTCATCCATTTTGAGTCTATTTTCGTGTGTGGTGTAAGGAAATGATCCAATTTCATTTTTCTGCATGTGGCTGTCCAATTTTCCCAACACCATTTGTTGAAGAGACTGTCTTTTTTCCATTGGGCATTCTTTCCCGCTTTGTCAAAGATTAGTTGACCATAGAGTTGAGGGTCCATTTCTGGGCTCTCTATTCTGTTCCATTGATCTATGTGTCTGTTTTTGTACCTGTACTGTACTGTCTTGATGATTACAGCTTTGTTTTCTTTTTTTTTTAATTTAATTTTATTTTTTCAGTGTTCCAAGATTCATTGTTTATGCATCACACCCAGTGCTCCATGCAGTATGTGCCCTCCTTAATACCCACCACCAGGCTCACCCATCCACCCACCTACTTCCCCTCCAAAACCCTCAGTTTGTTTCTCAGAGTCCATAGTCTCCCATGGTTTGTCTTCCCCTCTGATTTCCCCCAATTTACTTTGATTACAGCTTTATAATAGACCTTGAAGTCTGGAATTGTGATGCCACCAACATTGGTTTTCTTTTTCAACATTCTTCTGGCTATTCGAGGTCTTTTCTGGTTCCATATAAATTTTAGGATTATTTTTCCATTTCTTTGGAAAAAATTGATGGTATTGTGATAGGGATTGCATTAAATGTGTAGATTGCTTTAGGTATCATAGGCATTTTCACAATATTTGTTATTCCAAGCCATGAGCATGGAATGCTTTGCCATTTCTTTGTGTCTTCCTCCATTTCATTCATGAGTACCCTATAGTTTTCTGAGTAGATTCTTTGCATCTTTGGTTAGGTTTATTCCTAGGCATCTTATGGATTGGGTGCATTGTAAATGGAATCGACTCCTGAATTTCTCTTTCTTCTGTCTTGCTCTTGGTGTGTATAGAGATGCAACTGATTTATGTGCATTGATTTTATATCCTGACACTTTACTGAATTCCCATACAAGTTTTAGCAATTTTAGAGTGGAGTCTTTTGGGTTTTCCACATAAAGTATCATATCATCTGCAAAGAGTGAGAGTTTGACTTCTTCAGTGATTCAGATGCCTTAAATTTTTTTTTGTTGTCTGATTGCCAAGGCTAGGACTTCTAGTACTATGTGGAATAATAGTGGTGATAGTGGACATCCTTGCCATGTTCCTGACCTTAGGGGGAAAGCTCTCAGTTTTTCCCCATTGAGAATGATATTTGCTGTGGGTTTTTCATAGATGGCTTTGATGATATTGAGGAATGTACCCTCTATCCCTGCACTGTGAAGAGTTTTGATCAAGAAAGAATGCTGTACTTTGTCAAATGCTTTTTTAGCATCTATTGAGAGTATTGTATGGTTCTTGTTCTTTCTTTTATTAATGTATTGTATCACATTGATTGATTTGCAGATGTTGCATCCACCTTGTAGCCCAGGAATAAATCCCACTTGGTTGTGGTGAATAATCCTTCTAATGTACTGTTGGATCCTATTGGCTAGTATTTTGGTGAGAATTTTTGCAACCATGTTCATCAAGGATATTGGTCTGTAATTCTCCTTTTTGATGGGGTCTTTGTTTTCGGATCAAGGTAATGCTGGCTTCATAAAATGAGTTTGGAAGTTTTCCTTCCATTTCTATTTTTTGGAATTGTTTTAGGAGAATAGGTATTAATTCTTCTTTAAATGTTTGGTAGAATTCCCCTGGGAAGCCATCTGGCCCTGGGCTCTTGTTTGTTGGGAGATTTTTGATGACTGCTTCAATCTCCTTACTGGTTATGGATCTGTTCAGGTTTTCTATTTCTTTCTGGTTCAGTTTTGGTAGTTTATATGTGTCTAGGAATGCATCCATTTCTTCCAGATTGTCAAATTTGCTGGAGTATAGTTGCTCATAATATGTTCTTATAATTATTTATGTTTCTTTGGTGTTGGTTATGATCTCTCCTCTTTCATTCATGATTTAATTAATTTGGGTCCTTTCTTTTTTCTTTTTGATAAGTCTGGTCAGGGATTTATCATTCTTATTAATTCTTTCAAGGAACCAGCTCCTAGTTTTGTTGATCTGTTCTACTCTTCTTTTGGTTTCTGTTTCATTGATTTCTGCTCTGATCTTTATTATTTTTCTCTTGCTGGGTTTAGGCTTTCTTTGCTGTTCTTTCTCTACCTCCTTTGGGTGTAGGGTTAGGTTGTGTACTTGAGACCTTTCTTGTTTCTTGAGAAAGGCTTGTATGGTTATATACTTTCCTCTCAGGACTGTCTTTGCTGTGTCCCACAGATTTTGAACAGTTGGTTTACATTTTCATTTGTTTCCAGGAATTTTTTCAATTCTTCTTTAATTTCTTGGTTGACCCATTCTTTCTTTATTAGGATGCTCCTTAGCCTCCATGTTTTTAAGTTCTTTCCAACTTTCCTCCTGAGGTTGATTTATAGTTTCAAAACATTGTGGTCTGAAAATATACAGGGAATGATCCCAATCTTTTGATACAGTCCGAGACCTGATGTGACCCAGGATGTGATCTATTCTGGAGAATGTTCCATGTGCACTAGAGAAGAATGTGTATTCTGTTGCTTTGGCATGGAATGTTCTGAATATATCTGTGATGTCCATCTGGTCCAGTGTGTCATTTAAGGCCTTTATTTCCTGTTGATCTTTTGCTTGGATGATCTGTCCATTTCAGTGAGGGGAGTGTTAAAGTTCCCTACTATTATTGTATTATTGTTGGCTGCACCCATGTTAGGGGCATAGATATTTAAAATAGAACTTCTTGTTGGACAGACCCTTTAAGTATGATATAATATCCTTCCTCATCTCTTATTATAGTCTTTGGCTTCAAATCTAATTGATCTAATATAAGGATTGCCACCCCAGCTTTCTTTTGATGTCCATTAGCATGATAAATTGTTTTCTACCTCCTCACTTTAACTCTGGAGGTGTCTTTGGGTCTAAAATTTATTTACACACTTGATTTTGGGTATATTTTGGTCTGTTAGAAGAAACTGTCTCCCAAAATTTTAAAGAAAGAAAAACTCATGTATATACAAAAATAAGAGTAAACACAGTGGAAGGATAGAATATGACTGTAAAGATGAAAATTAAAAGATTCTAAAAAGGAATTAATAAGTCGGTTGTAAAAAAGAAAGAGGAAGGAATGTGATCAGGCTGGAGACTAGAACAAAGCTGGTGCTAGATTTAGAGTATATTTTGATCTGTTAGAAGAAACTGTACCCCAAAATTTTAAAGAAAAAAAAAACTTATGTGTATACAAAAAATAAGGTTAAATACAATGAAGGGATAGAATATGAATATAACAATGTAACTTTTAAAAGACTTTTAAAAAGTTATTGATGAGATAAAATAGTTTAAAAACATTAAAATAGGAAAGAAGAGAAATTTAAAAAATAAAATAAGAAAAAAATAAAATTTAAACAACTTAACTTTGAAAGACTAAAGAGTCCTGGGAAAAACATCATGAATTCTATGTGCTATATTCCTGTAGTTCTGAAGTTTTGCAGTTCTCATTGGTGAACTTGGTCTTGGCTGAATGTTCTTGTTGATCTTCTGGGGGAAGGGCCCATGGCAGTGATTCACAGATGTCTTTGCCTGAGGTGGAATTGCACTGCCCTTGCCAGGGGCCAGGCTAAGTAATCTGCTCCGGTTTGCTCTCGGGAGCTTTTGTTCCCTGAATGCTTTCCCTACAGGTGTGGAGGATGGGAATGAAAACTGCGGCTTCCCAATCTCTGGCCCTGGAGGAGATGAGAAATCAGGTCCCCACTCCTCAGTGTGTCATCAGAGAAAAGCAGTCAATCCCTCCCATTTCCCTGGTCTCCAGCCATACTCTGTGCTCACCTGGCTTGTGACCGAGCATTTCTATCTCTGGTACACGAACCCATTTGCAGTCTCCAAACCCAACAGATTCCTGCAATGTGCTCCTACACCACCATTCCTCCTGGAAGAGGAAGGAGGGGGTCTCCCCATATCTGCCATTTATGGGGACACTGCTTAAAGAGCAGTGGCCCTGCTGTGCCTCAGATCATGGCTTAAGGTAACCCTGAGCTGAGAGCCCCTCCTCAGCTCCCTCTTTGCAGCTGGCTTCCCCGCTCCAGTACCTGGGAGCTCTGCCACACTCAGGCACCCCTGGTCTTTCTGTGACCCTGTGGGTCCTGAGACCACACTGTCCCCATGAGGGCTTCACCCCCCACCCCCACATAGCCTCTGGAGTGATGTCCCTCAGTGGAGAAGACTTCTAAAAGTTCCAGTTTTGTGCTCGGCTGCTCAACTACTTGCCAGGAGCCAGTCCCTCCTGCCATGGTCTATTTTCCTGTATGTCACCTGGGATACACTTCTCCACACGTCCTACCTCCCAGAAAGTGGTCACTTTTCTTTTCTTAGAATTGCTGCTCTTCTTCTCTTCAAACTCCTGTTGAGTTTGTTCAGAATGGTTTGATAACTATCTAGCTGAACTCCTGGGACCCTATGATATTTAGGTCTCCTACTCCTCCGCCATCTTGCTCCTTTCCCAGTCTTGTACTATGTTTAACAGACTCTCTTTTTCATGAAGTAAACAAAAACTGGTGTTTAAGTCCATTTTCACATAATCAGAATCAATAGTTCTGTAATCTGAATCCATAGTTTTTAACCCTATATTGACTGTGAAACAAAGATGGTGTAAACATGCTACAGATAAAGTTTTAGAGATATGATTATAAAATAATGAGACCAATTCTATAAAACATTCATGGAAAATAACTTATTATTTTATTTTATGTAGTAAAAATTTGAAGTTTTATGTTTGCATTTTACTTCAAATATGCAGATTTACATTAATTTGCTTCTCTCCTCCTTTCTTTCAGGAAAATATACATGCAAGAGTAAGTATTTTTGTTTTAATAATAGAAATCAAATGTAACGATAATGAGAGGGTGGGGGATGGGTAACTAGGTGAAGGGCATTAAGGAAGTCACTTGAATTAATGAACATTGGGTGTTAAATGAAACTGACGAATCACTGAGCTCTACCTCTGAAATTAGTAATACACCATATATTAGTTAAATTGAACTTAAATAAAAAAATTTTTTAAAAAGGTCATGGGGGAAAAACCTGTTCAGTATTTTCAAAATTGAGAATTTTTTGTTTTTTACAATTATGTTTATTGCTTTTAGTACATTATTTCCAATTTATCTGAGGTGACTGTACATATTAAATTATCTCATGTATTTTACAAAATGTTTTACAAGACTCCTGGGTTACAAGTTATTTAAATCACAAGTTTGCTGATGCCAGGAATGCTTTAGGAACTGCTCAACATACATATGCTTCGCAATCGTAATGTGTCCAAAAACACACCTTCTTAAGAATGACATTAGACAAAAAAAAAAAAAAAAAAATCTCAGATTTATACCACAATGTTTTTGAAATTTCTGTAGATTAATGTACAAAAGAAAAGATTCTTCATGCATTATGACAAATATTGAGTTTTTTCTAATTTGGACTCATGATTTAAAGAGAAAAAATCAAACATTCATATATAATATGTTTAAAATATATAAAATATTAAAACAAAATAACTTGTTGCTAAGACAATATAGAAATTAAAAAAATAGCACACATAGACATACACTTTGGAAGACATCCATTTTTATAGAAGGGAAAGCATGTCTAGTCTAATACTGAAAAGATGGTATTGGCTTAAATATAAACTCAAATTTACCAGACTTGAAAAAATGCACGTATTTGGTTTAGCAAGGTCAGCAGTAATCTAAACAATAATCAACCTGAGTTCCCAGCCTGTGTGTTTGCTTGTTTACATGTCTTTATGTGTGTGCGTGCTTCTGTATTCTAAACTCCCAAAACTGTACACGAGGAAATAAAAAACCCACAAAATAAAAAGTATATTAACTTAAGCTGTAAATACCTGTCATTCATGCTTTGTTGCATAGCAACCATGAGGAAGGACAGAATTCCAGAAGTGAGGTGCAGAACCAGGCATCCATCAGACAGGGGCTAGAGAAGTTAGTTTTTGACATACCAGCGAGGCACAGGCACCAAACAGGCACCCAGTTCTTTCACTTTATAGTCTTTTCTCTCAAAAGAAAAAAAAAATAAGTATGTGTGTGTATATATATATATAATCTCCTATAGTGCGAACAGATGTAAATTGTTTTGTTTAATGAGTTCCCGATTCTGAGACCACGGAATCTGAAAACCTGCATAATGGAAGAGGGCCTTTGTCCTTTCACACGCTGGGGTCTTCCTGGTTTCTCTTCTGTGATAGCTGGTAGGGTTGGATGGGGTGGGGAGACGGCTATCTCATTAAAAAGCCTGTGCCCATGGCATTGTGCCGAGGACGGGAGATTCACACAGAAGAACTATGTGAATTACCAAAGAACTTCTTATGCTACAAATTCTCCTCGGGCTTCTTTTCCTAAAGCTTAAGTCTTTATAACCAAAAGACCAGAGAGAGAGAGAGATTCAGAGCAGAGTGAGAGATTCTTTTAATACAGTTAGCATACACAGCTCCTACAACAAACAGTACATTGTATCGCGATACTTGCTTAAAAAATGGCACTAGCTTTAGGACAATCCCGCTGCGTGGAAGTTAGCAGGCTTTGGATGCCCCCTCTAGTCTATTCTACACATCAAGAACTGGAAAAGAGGTCGAACGATCACAGCGTGGGGCTGGATGCACATCAAAGCCATACTCGCCGTGCGTTATTTTCCTTCCAGCTTCTCTCCCTCTGGTCACGAGGCGCACATGCTGCTACATGAAAGGATAAAACGCAGTGTCAAGTGATTTGTAATTGTTTGGCTCCTTAGCAGCTAAGGCCAGGAATAGTGCAGCCGGAAGTGCATTTAGGAAATGTGGCGTTTTAAATGCCTTGAAAAAAAATTCCTTACTTATGGGAACGGAAAATTGGGTGTGGGTTCCTTTTTATTATTATTATTATTTTATTTTTACAATCTACATTTTTAAAAAAATACAGAAAAAGACAAAGATGTTTCTAACTTCTAAAATGTTTATTTTGAATTATAATCTTATGTAAACATCAAAGACAGTACTAAAGGGACAAGAATCATAGAATCCTGCACCAAAAAGTCCCCCGAAAAGCATCTGATACAAGTCCCATGTTCTAAAGCAAGAAAAACTCAACTATTCTAAATTTAACTCTCTCCAGAGATGCTGTGTTTCATCTTTATGCTTTTACACTTCTTTATATGTATTCTCTATCTTGACCAGATACTCCTACCTTTGGAGTCAGGAATTTTATTGATCCCAAAATGTTATTTCTGCCTTCTTAAGCTTTATAATTTTTAAATTATTAAAGAAACACTGTGAAATATAGAAAACCAAAATGAAGACCGTGAAGACAATCGGTAGTCACATTCCAGAGTTAACTATTGTAACATTTCATGAATCCCTCACTTCACTGCAATTTTTTTCTACACACACACACACACACACACACACACACATGCATGTGCACACGTGTGCATATTGGCTAACACAGGACTGCTATATATTTCCTGTATGTCAAGTCACTACCTCATTCATCAGTATATCATGGACACATTTCTATGTCAGTAAACGAATCCACATTGCTTTATGACTGCATAATATTTTATCTGATGTATATACCATAATTTGGTTTACCAAACCCTTATAGATATTTGAATGATGTCTTTCTGTCCTATAAAGATTGATGTTATGTGTTTATTCTTATAAATGATCTTTGTACAATAATTTGACTTTCTTAGAATGAGTTTCTAAACGTGGAATTGCTAGATCAAAGGCCTTTTGATACTTACTGCCAGAAAATTTAAACAAAGTTAAACTAATTTAGTCCCACTACCTGTATATGATTTGTCCATTTATCTCCTATTTGCCAGCCCTAGAAACAATTAATATGTGTATCTTTACTACCTGTGGCAATGCAGAAGGCTTAAAATATTATTGTATTGTGTTAATTTTCATTAATAATAATCTTGAGCATTTTTCATGTATGGTTAACCATTTGTATTTCCCTCTAATGGATTGCCTTTTTTATTGATTAATTGAGATGTTCATCTTTTTCTAATTGATTGATAGTGTCTCTCTAATTAGCAAGTATATTAACACTTTTTCTGTCTTATATGCTTCCAGCTTGTCATTTGACTTTTAACATAGTTTATGGCTGCTTTTGTTTTTATCTGTACAGTATCAGAGAGCTAAAATTTTTTAAAGATTTTATTTTTTATTTATTTGAGAAAGACAGAGGACACATGCCTGAGCCAGGGGGAGGAGAAGAGGGAGAAGCAGGCTTCCCACTGAGCAAGGAGCCCAATGTGGGCTTCGATCCCTGCACACCCAGATCGTGACCTGAGCAGGAGGCAGACGCTTAACTGACTGAGCCACCCAGGCACCCCTTACAGAGCTTGAATTTCAAAATACATTTATCACTTTTTCCTACTATGGCTTTTAGATTTTGTGTCCTGCTTAAAAATTCCAGGTTTTTTTTAAAGTGTAATTTCTGTTTCCTTCAACTTGTATAGTTTCATTTTTAACAATTAGATCTTTGATCTATACAGAAATTATTTTGATGTAAAGAATTTATTTTTGTTATTTTCTTCTCTATGACTAGATAATATCACAACACCTGATATTGAACAATTCATTTTTTTACAGAGTAGGAATGTGATATTTACTTAATTTTCATACATACTTGTATTTATTTCTTGATTTTCTATTTTGTGCTACTCTTCTTTCCATATATATACCCACACAAAACTGCTTTCATTTCTGCAGCTTTATTTTTTAGTATAAGATATACCTACAGTTGACCCTAAAAACAGCATGGGGTTGGGGTGCTGACCCCCATGCAATTGAAAAGGCATGTATAACTTTTGACTCCCCCAAAACTTTACTAATATCCTGCTGTTGACCAGAAGCCTTACTGAGGACATAATTAATAAATTAACACACATATTGTATGTTATATGTATTACAAACTGTGTTCTTACAATAAAGTTAGAGAAAAGAAAGTGTTATTAAGAAAATCATAAGTGGGGGGAGCTTGGGTGGCTAAGAGGCTGACTCTTGATTCTGGCTCAGGTCATGGTTTCAGGGTCTTGGGATCTAGCCCCTTGTGAAACTCTAAGCTCAGCGTGGAGTCTGCTTGAGGATTCTTTCTCCCTCTGTCCTCCCCCCCCAGAGCACATGTTCGCTCGATCTCTCTCTCTCTCTAAAATAAATAAATAAATCTTTAAAAACAAACAAACAAAAAAACAAACAAAATCATAAGGAAGAGGAAATATACTCAGTACTGTGCCATATTTATTGAAAAAACATCCATGTGTGAGTAGCCATGCAGTTCAAATCCATGTTCAAGGTTCAACTGTAATCTCAGCTCAATATTCTTCCTGTTCAGAATTTTCTTGAATATTTTTGCATGTTTCCTTCTTTAAAATCTTTGTGTTTTTGTAAAATTATATGTGCCATGGTTTAAAAAGCCAAATCGTGGGGCACCTGTGCGATTCAGTTGGCTCAGTGTCGTGGGATCCAGGCTTGCTTTGAGCTCCCTGCTCGGTGGAGACTCTGCTTCTCCCTCTCGCTCTGCTGCTCCCTGCCCCACTTGTTCTCTCTCTCTCAAAGAACAAAATCTTTAGAAAAAAATAGTTGTACAGGATTAAGAAAAATAGCAGTCCCCTCTTCTCTTACCTGCTTCTAAAGGACATAAGCATTTTCACACCTTTTAGTTAATATTTTGGTACTTATCTTCATGACCCTAAAAACATGTTTGGCTTTCCCTTTTTAGGTATTATATTTTGACTTCCCCTATGGAACACAAGAATTTATCTCTCTCCCTATGCCATCTCCACTACACACACACACACA